AAATAAGAAAGGAATTTCTTTAAGAAAACCAAACATCAAATTCCAAAAACATTTGGTCATAGGGATCAAATTGTCACCCTTTGACAGTTTGGTCTTATGCAGTTTTACCTGACAAATAAGAAACTTTGCAAAATGCGTACAAAGTTCTACATTTATTCTGACAACGCAACAATAACCAAGGATTCACAGTATAATGAGTTTGTTCAACAAAACTAACTAAAAACAATTGCATTCAAATTACAAAAAAGAAGCTGGGTTTATTTTTTAAAAATAAATAATGAGATGTATAACTGAAACAGAATTGCAAATTGTTTTGAGGATCAAAACAGTAGCACAATAAATTTTAGAAAATACATCTACACAGTCTATGTATTTCAACCGAGTCTATGATCCCCTTCTTGAAATATATCACAAGAAGGTACTACAAGATAGTAGCCAATAAATGAAGACACGACACTTACAGTCGTATGACTACAGTATCTACTCTCAACCTAATCTTGTTTCTATAGTGATGCGATTTCTGAAACCAAAAACATGTGAACATGGATTCATATTCGTTCACCGGCATGGTGGTGCCATGGTTGGTGACCAACTTGTCATGCTATTATCTCTCAGAAAAAAACTAGAACTTCTCGAGTAGTATCATCTTCAGTTTTAATTTCAAAACATGTGAGACTTTACCATGTCGACAGTAAATGTTATTATATCTAATATGCAATCCAGTAAATGTCGTAGAGCGATTACTTAAGATGTAAGGCAGACAAGGGCATATACTATATTTCTGGAAAATCTATGAAGAAACTCAAAGATAAATTTACCTATCCTTGTGACTCTTTTCGTGAATAAGTACAAACACACAACACTGATGTGATGTGCTCTGGACTATCATCGCAATCAACCAGGGAAACCAGTCAAGCCTAATTCGACTCATAAGTGTTGCATGACCCAGCAAGCATTAATATAAAATTGGAAATGCTCTTCATTACTTTTGTAAAAGAATTGGAACATACCCTCCTATTTCTTCATTATCAATGCTACCACTCAACAAGCAATGAGCTTCTATACCCCTCGTATCTTCAAAGGGTCTCTCATGAGTAAAGGTTTCTTTCCCCTAATCCCCTTCTTCTAGCATCATGTCATATTCTGTTTTGCACCACCACCACCACAACAAAAATAATAACTTTTTTAAGCTAAAAGACCTACTGCCTTTCCTTTAAATATTAGCAAACCCTAACATAAACTTGGTCACCTCAATATATTATATAGTAACTTGTATCATGAAGTCCAANCAACTCATAAGTGTTGCATGATCCAACAAGCATTAATATCAAATTGGAAATATCTTTCCGCGATAAAACTCTTCGTTACTTTTGTAAAAGAATGGAACATACCCTCCTATTTCTTCATTATCAACACTACCACTCAGCAAGCAGTGAGCTTCTATCCCCCTCATCTCGTCAAGGATCTATCTAGAGTAAAGGTTTCTTTCACCTAATCCGCTTCTTCTAGCATCACGTCATATTCTGTTCTGGACCATCACCAGCATCAAAAATAATTTTTTAAAGCTAAAAGACCTACTGCCTTTCCTTTAAATATTAAAAACCTAACATAAACTTGGTCACCTCAATATACAATATAGTATAGCTTGTATCATGAAGTCCAAGAAGATTAAAGAATCTATTCACATCCCCCCAACCACCCAAACACACACCAACAGTATCATCATTTCTGCCCCAATTACGTCGAATCAAAAGACAAGTTTTGTAACACTAAACAAAATATTTTGGAGAAGTAGGGATTCGGGAAGCACTAACCAATTACGTCCAAGGACCTCCTCCGCACGATAACCAGTAACCATCTCAAATACGGAATTAACATATATAATAGGGTGGTCGGGCTCCAAAGCATCCGCAACAACAAACCCACACGGCGCCGGCTTCAGGAGCGTGTCCACCGGGAAAGGCAGCTGACCTCCGCCGCTCTTTCTCAACAGAAACCCTAATCCCTCTTCCTCCTCCTCGCCACCGCTCAGATCAGACTCCGAGTCACTATCCCACTCCATCACACCTCAACGCGCACTGCACTTTTCCGTCCTTTCACCCCATAGCATAGCACACCAAAATCAGACGATGGAAAAACGAACAATCTGGAGTAGAAAATTGAGATTCAGACACTAGGGTTGGCTGGTGATTAAGGATTTTCAGAAATGAGTGGACGAGATGCTGGGTTTGGGGGTTTGGTTTGGGTTTGTTTTCTGAGACGAAAGAACCAATCCTCGTATAGATTGTTCTGTGCTCCTCCTTCGAAAGGACAAAAATGGGGAAATAATGAGATTTTTAGGATGAAGGGATAAAAAAGGTTTAATTAAGGCATATGGAATTTGGTTAGTACCCGGAGTAGTTTGTAGTTTGTAGTTGTACAGACTATATCTAGTTGGACATGAGACTATGAGAATTTCGAATTGTGAAAATTGAACAAGAATTGCTCTGAACAAAAAAAAAAAATCGTGACCTTTTGACTTTGTCCGAGTCGAATCAAATTAAACTGAGAAAATAGTTGGTACGTAGACATGGTCACGGGTCGAATCGACTCAGTCAAGCTTGTTGACGGTGGACCTTAAAACGGCGTATTGTTTTACCCAAACCGGTTTAGGTTCATGTTTTTTGCAAATTGAGCCGTCGATTCCGAACAGGAACCGACAGTTCGACGAATTTAAAAATTGAATTTTTATTTAATTTTACTTATTCTTATTTTTTTTTATTTTTAATTTGCTAGTTAGGCCCAAAACTGACAGATCGGTCGTGAACTGCATGCTCAATGAACCGGCTCATATATACTAGAGTTGGTTCAAGTTTACATAAAATGCAAACTTGGACTGGCGGTTCCAAACAAGAACGACCATTTGGCCATGTATAATTGGTACTGTTTTGGAGACTTCACAAATATCCATACCGAAAATCGAACCAAATCATCCCATATCATACCGTATCGAACCAAAGAACCGAAATTAGGAATCGAATTATAACATTATATGTGTGTTGTTAATATATTTTATGCTAACTTTAATCCTATGTAATTTGAGTATTTTTAGAATATCAAATAAAATATAATACTAATAATTAAACATCACCTAAATTTTATAGTTAATACTACTTGTTCCATAATGCACTTTTTCCGCTTCAAAAAATTATCTAAAATCGTACAAAGGTTAAAGAAATATTTAAAAAAATATATTTAATTTTTTTTTAAACTTTACTTGATTTTTTTGATACTTTTTGTAGTCTTATTCAATCTTATAATTAAAACGATATGAAAGAGTAAAGAAACATTTATTTTTAAAAAATATTAAGTTTTGTTTGAATTCCAAATTTATATTATTAGTTGCACGAATATAGTCTTAACTAAAATTTTGAGTTACTTATAAAATTGATTATAAAATAAAATCTTTAAAATATTTATGAATGTTGAATTTTTTTATAAAAAAAAAATATAACTAGATAGTCATTCAAAAAATTTTAAAAATAATTATAAATATCCAAAACTCCGAATATAATTGCAATCAATATAAAGATTAATATGTAAGCTAATAGTTTATGTTTATATCATTCATTTTTATGATAAAATTTATAAAATATGATATGCTCATTATCTAACTTATGATTTTTAATATTACTTACACACACATAAAATTTTATTTACATCTGTGTATGTGCACAGGATACTATGCTAGTTATTTTTTAATAGGGTTAACTGCATATTAATTTCACGAGCGTTATTTTCACAATTCAATCATGAACTTTTATTGCTGCAATGTAATGTTGTATATGAACTTTATAATTGTTGCAGCTTCATGAACACATTTTTCAGCAAACGAAGGCTAACGTGTCATGATAAAAATGCCATGGTGGACGTTGGTGTCACATAAACTCGTTGTTTATTTGCATAATTTACGAATTTTAGGTTATTTGCAAAAGCATACATGAACAACTGAAATTTGCAATTTTGTACATGATCTTATTAATTAATTGTTTTAATTTTTTTCATGTCACGAAAACCAATAGTTTACTGGATATAACCCCAGAATAGTTTGATGGACCGATTTGAGTGGTTAGGACGGGTATGGCCGGTCCAAAAGAGCTTTAGCTCGATTTCAGTGTTTGACCTCGTGAAGGAGCTCGCTTAAGCAGCTTAAGGTACAGGTCGACCTGATAAGGAGATTTGGAAGTTGAGATCCTCCGTGAGCTCAGATAGATGAGGTGACCTCATGATCTGGAGGTCTTGAGAATAAAGGTCGTGGTTACAACCTGGATAGATCCAATGGCAGATAGGTTGTGAGATCATTCTTACGATCTAAGGACCTAAGTGTCGTATGGTAAGAGAAAATAAAATTTTTAAAGGATGAAAAGCGTATCTCGCTAAATAGTCTGAAATTTTAGAGGCGCGGTAAACTAGAAAATTAGAGAAAGAAGACACCCTAGTATATAATAGGTGATCAGGTTTTACTTTTACATAACAGATATATTTACGCTTAAAGCTACAGTTTTCCCATTATTCTCACAATGAGTACTGACTTGAGCATCGGAGATTTTTCCACCGGGATCCCTCCCCAGCGCATTGCAGGTCACCAAAGATCAAGACAAAAGGTCGTTCGTGGTGCTGCTAGTTTAACCCGATTCAAGGACAATTTGTGTATCAAATTGGTGTCGTCTGTGAGAACACCTATTATTTTACCTGCTATTAGGGCCTAAGGTGGTTTCTCAAAATATTTTCATAAGACTAGAAATCATGGCAGAAGATAGCTCCAAGAAGAATTTGCCAAAAGATATGAAGGAGGCTTGGGTGTCTCGAGTTCCTTTGGGGTCGAGTCCCCCACCTGGTTGGTCGAAGCAGAACATCGCACAAATCACTCTCAATATGACATTGCCAAGGTCGCATACTTCCTTGTCCTCGCTGTTAAATGAGTCCGAACAACCTCCGACGAGGCATGAGTCGTTGGTCATCCAATAAGGGATCAGGGAGGAACATCAGCAGAGGTAGGTGGCTGTGGGGAAAGGCGAAGTGTAACCTCCAGAGGGTCCAGGGGCAATTCGACCTTAGTAGCAAGAGGATGGGCAAGAACAGAATCCCTAGGGGTATAAGGCCCTCAGAAGAGATCAGGTAATTCAGCTCACCAAGTCGAGTTGGACATATAGCAGAAGCCCCCAAGGTAACCGAGACCTCGGAGACCAACCGTGACCAGCCTTACGCGACCAGGCGTACCTGGCTAACCACCGCACGCGATGAGGCCGGAGCAGCGATCAGCCGAGACGCGTCCCCAACAACCATTGCGCACAGCCCCAACGCGACAGCAACCCGTGTCATCCGCCTGCAGCCCGCGAGCTTCTCGTGCATCCCCGACGACCGCGACCCGTGCACTGCAGCTCCGCACGACCGCGACCCTTCTACGCAAGCGACTTCCCGGCGACCCGGGACGTCTGACGAGGTGATTCCCCGTGAGTGGAAAATCAGGATCTCCATCAATAGAAATCTATAACGTCTCTGAGTCTACAATTTTAAGTCGTAAGTTTTCAACTTTGAACATCTAGATCTGTTGCGCATAGGTTTATTGTTGATTATTTAATTCGTGAGTTGTACATAACGAGATCTTCACCGGCCCTATCATGTTTATTGTTTTTCGGGTTCAGAGAAGGCAACCATTACTGAGGTTAAGACTGTTTGCTTGGAGATTATTTACTTGGTTAGTATGAAATAATCTTATCCTCTGTAGGTCCGCTCAATATATCTGAGATGTACTAGTGTAATTCATTAGTCAATGACCAACTAATTAGAAATCACAGTACAACACTTCACGTTAGTTAGTTTAATTCCGTCTAGGTTGTGGACAAATATTTGTATTTTACAAGGAACCGACAATATAAATTTTATGTTCGAATTGAACCGTCTACAATGTAAAATAAAACAACTATTTTCGCATAAATCATATAAACAACAAACATACACTTGACTAAAACATGAATCTCATTCAAAATGGAATTGAGAGTAACACAAAGTCGAGCTTCTACATTATACTACAACAGTTACGCAGCCCAAATGACTAATGTTTTTGGGAGTCTTCGGACTAGTCCTGGGTGAACTTGAAGTCGAGCCATGGACTTACGTTGAGTCACTCTAAGATCGGGACGCAGAGTCTTGGCAAAGTGCTACGAAGGTTGAAATTGAGTCAATAGACTCGAATCAGGTCAAAGATCTTGTAGAACCACCCAGTGGCGTTTCGCCATTAGATGCAAGTGGGTCTATAAGAGAAAAGGAGGATTAGATGGGAAGGTTGAGACCTTCAAGGCTAAGCTTGTTGTGAGTACACTTAAAAGCGGGTCTCGATTAAGAAGAGACCTTTTCATTGGTAGATTAAGTCTATCAGGATTTTCTTAGCCGTAGCCGCTCATATGGATTGTGTGATTTGACAAATAGATGGCAAGACAACTTTCCTTAACGGGAATCTAGATGAGGACATCTATATGCAACAGATAGAGAGATTGCAAAAGGCCAAGAGCATCTGGTCTGCAAGCTTAATCAATGCATTTATGGACTGAAACAAGCTTCACGATCTTGGAACATCCATTTTGACGAGGTTGTCCAATCATTTTGATTTATCCAATGTCTGGATGAGCACCGCATGTACAAGAAAGTGATAGAAACATAGTGGTATTTCTTGTGCTATACATAGACCACATTCTTCTTATTACAAAATATGGTATCGGTGTTTTCGGACGTGAAGGTATGACTGTCCAATTAGTTTGATATGAAGGATTTGGGAGAAGCGAGACACATTCTCGGGATCAAGATGATTATGCATCGTGAGAAGAAAATATTGTGCTTATCTCAGTCTTCGTACATAGATACAGTCTTGGCTCGTTTCAACATGCATGACTCCAAGAAAGAGTTTTTACCTTTTCGATACGAATGATTGTTTGTATACTGAAAGCATTGCATCATTTGAACATTCTTTCCATTTTGAATAGAAGAATCATGTTTGGTCAATGTTGTGCAATTTAATTTATGTATGGATTTGCCTTTGTCATGTTATTTACATTGAAAATAATATAATGTGGCTTCATCGTACAAAAGATTGTATTATTGGTTCCTTGTGCAATATAAATAAGGTTCACAACCGAGATAATAATGGACAAACCTATCGGTATGGTTACAGTATAATTTGAGTTAATTTATTTTAACTAATGGATTATACTAGTACACTTTGTGTATATTGCACGAACCCGAGAGGAGAAGTTTATTTTATACTGACCCAGTAAATAAAATAGACCTCATGATATCGCTTGTACTTTTAAGCCGTTTGATAATGATGGGCACGTGTGATTAATAGTTGTTCTTTGATTCATAAAAAGGTGCGACTTATTCTGTTAGGTCAATAACTTGGTGAGTTGAGAACTATTATTAATCACATGGTGTGATGTCGATTATACTCGGTCACTGAGCACTGGTGTGTCAGGTTGATGACATTTCCGAGATGAGCTCACAAGGTTTATTATGTCAAAACCTGCAGACGAATTTAGTTCCAACATACTAATAAGGATTGATTGGTACTAGTCTAAGAACATCAAGAAGTTAATTAGTTAAATTGTCAGTAATAAAATTATTTAACGAATGTTATATCTTTAGCACGAGGAGATAAATCGAGGATATTGGAGCCCATATAATTGGGGCAAAGGAAATAAAGTGCAATAATAAATATTTAACAAGGCGATCGACCGAACAAACGAAGCGAAGCGATAATAAATAATTAGTAAAATTATTTATTATTAATGACCCAAGAGATAGGGTGAACTACAACTCAAGTATTTCTTGGCCCATTGAGAGTCCTAATCCTAGCCTCCTTAAGTACCTCTTGTACCCTATATATAAGTCATGTGGGGAACTCGTTCTCATATCTCAACCCTAGCATTCACACGTAAGAGAAAGGACATAAAGAGAGTTCTAATCCACATGTGATTGGTAGATCATCGCTCACACTACGTTCAACTGAGAAAAGGAATACAACAGAAGACTCAAGGTGTTGGGCGATCACTGGCGACCAAGAAGACACGCACGCGCGCTCGCGCACACACACACACACAATATATACTAAAATCAAATTTATATTAATATAAATGTGTTAGCGGGATAATATATAAATTAACTTACATACTAACCCTAATAGACTCATGTTTAACGTTCTGGCTAAAAAAGCCAAAAGTGATTAAAAGAGGTAGAAAATGAAATATCCAACCCTACTATTTTTGGGGTCTAAACAAACAGGCCTTATGGAAATAACTCATTTAACATTTCCGACTCACGAGTCGCACGGGCCACGTACTAGTATATATGAAGAGAATAAAATTTACCAAAAAATTGTATAAAAATAAATCAGGAACATTTAATTTATATCTTCTTTGTAAACTTTTTAAATGTATGCATTAATTGCTTGCATATACACATTTACAAGTCAGATCAAATCGGATGTGATAAAAAATATATTCTTTCCATGAATAATTTTTTTTTTTAATTTTGCAGCAATTTTATTGATATCCATTATAATAAATTATAAATTGATTTTCCGTGATTCATATTGATAATATTTTGGTTAAGATAAACATGAAAATAAATTTTAAGTTCTAATCATATTATTAATTTCTTTTCTCAAAATATTCTTTTCATCCTAAAATATTTATAGAAAATCGTAACAGGTCAGGTAATTTTTTTTTTCTTCCGATTAAACAGGTGAAATCAAGTTGGTGAATTAATATTTGCCAATTCAATTTTTTTTCTTAAGCTTTATTTGTTTATATATATAAAAAAAATAGTCCTTAAATTAATATAATTTACCATTAAAGAGATGATGACCAAATACATTAAATAGTTTTAATAATAGCCACATAATAAAATTTGAATATATTAACTCTTCTTTAATATTCAATATGTAATTATGTGTATATTATTGTCAACTATGTTTTTTTTAGTTTTTATTTTGATTTCTTTCCATAATGAAATTATTATAAAGTATATTTTCATTGAATAGTATGCTAAATAAACTATAAAATTTTATGAAGCAAATTAAAAAAAATCTCTTAATTATAGTACAGATTTATTTTTTGCCCATTGTTAAATCAAAGTTATGAAAAAAAATAAATTCTAATGCATAATGGCAAAATTAAAAAAAAAAAACTTCGGGATTAGTATTGGATTAATTGGTTAATTAACATAAATAAACCTACAAAGTGTTATTTTTCTCAATGTAACTGAATTGTTTTCTTTCTTTATGAGATTATTTTTAGTTTTATATTTATTATGAGAGACGAGAAATACCAAAATTTGTATGGAATCAATGTGTGTATATTTGTAAAATATTTATATACAATATTTTATTCTATATTTATTAAGATAATCTTAAATTAATTAGATTAATAAATAATATTAACTTAAATTATATACTTTTTATTACATAAAATAAAAAGAAGAAGACTACTTCGATAAATTTTATAAATAATAATAATGATGTTATATGACAATAAGTTTTAGAATAAAATAATAATTGAGTATTATATGGTAAACAAGAACAGGTAAAATTGTTATTTTTTTTTCTTATATGAAGAAATAAATATATATAATTAAATTAAATTTATATTAGCATAAACGTCCATGATAATATATTGATCAATTTAAATGCTAATCCTAACAGACTCAAGTTTAAGATTCTGATTAAAAAAACGAACACTGATTAAAAGAAGTGAAAAATAAATAATCCAACTTTATTGTTTTGGGAACCTAATTCGACAAACTTAATGACTCATTTAACATCTCTATTTCGTGCATCTCACGGGTTGCGTACTAATTTGTATTACGAGTTACTGGGTTTGGATATAGCTTCTAGATAAAAATTCATCGAGCCCATTTTACACTCTTTTCACATAATCGGTATGAATTCTTCGCATCTCAAATTTAGGCAATATTATAATGAGGCAATTGTTCATGAGAATAAATTGCCAAGCCAACCAAGGTGAATAGAGATGTTAAATGGTCCTTAGCCCGATGGGTCGGCCCGTTTAGCCCAAAAAAACAAGGTTAGGGCTCTTTATTAGTAGCCTGTTTAAATTAGGACTTTTTAGGCTCGGACCGTTTAGCCCGAAGCCCGCTAGGGCTGGCCCGTTTATCTAGGGTTGGACGGAGTAAATATTTGCATCAAGTAAGTAATAAGCTTTTAGATGTCTTGTATATTACAATTTTGCTATTCCACTTCAAGTATGAGTTGTAATGGATTATTATAATTTTGAAAGATAATTATTAACAATATTGTTATTGTACTTCACACCAAAATATTAAGTCAATCAGAATGACTGACAGGAAACACATGAAACATAGTGATAGAATTTATAGTAAAAATTTCCAAAGCGCACAAAATAAGTAGTAAAATGATAATTGTAAGTAATAGTTGGAATATTTTTTTCTTTTGAGAAAAAATATGTTATTTAAGAATTTGTAATGTTTGTTCATATATGATGTGTAGTATATATAAAGCGGTAAATACTAAATAGTCGTTGAAAACAATCGTTAACTAGCCGTTGTTATTTTTTTTATATTTTTTTATTCTTTTTATTCTAGATATTTTTCTAGATACTATTATTATTATTATTATTATTATTATTATTATTATTATTATTATTATTATTATAAATATAACCAGCATAGCCCGTTTAGCCCGAAGCCCGCTAGGGTTAGGGTTAGGTCCCTTTATTGGAAGCCCGTTATTCTCTAGTTTAAACATGATCAGCGAAACAGAATAGGGGTCTAGAGCACAGATGTTACTCATTGAAGAAATTTTTGGGCCTTCTGTAATAAGATAAAAATAAAATAAAAAATCAAATTTTGGGACATCTGCAACTTTTATCCAAAGCGCCGTGAGGAATCTTGGTTAAAAAAGAAGAAAAATAAAAATGAGTGCACTTATTGTAATGTAATTGTGAAATTCCACCTTTGCTACAAGTTATCAACCCAAAACTTGTTCCTAACAAGTTATCAACCACTCATGGGATTATATCTCATTTTATCCCAACTAACATCACACGGGCAGCTACCACTGCAACGAAACACATAATTATATCTTGATAAGTGCAGTTATCACATTCTATCCAGTAAAACAAAATGGTCCAATATTACAGATTGAGACAAATTTTGAAATGCCAACGTCTGACAGAAATTGTTTATTCTTACCTTTGCCTTCTCTTATTTCAGGCAAGATGGGACGTAACAAGAGAGCACTTAAAGCAGACGGGTTAACATAGAAAACTCTGACTATATGTGCTGCGATTTTCTGATAAAATAGTTGAAAAGAAAAAACCTCCAAATTGACAAACTCCTCTTAGCCAGCTGAACAAAGAAAGAGCCTACTTTTCATATAGAGAATATTAAGGGAAAAAAAAAGGAATAAAATAAGCAAAATGGAGATAGAGCTTACTGCAGCAAATTAATGGAGTCAACTGGTGAACAATTTGATATCCAAGGCATGCATAGTGTCTCCAATTACTGAATCCTTCAACTATTTTCAGAAAAAGAAAGAAAAAATATCAAGTGGATTTTGAATTACCACGATAACTTAGTAAAGTAACGTGTATGATGTTGTGTGGTTCATGAATGGTTATCCTCATGGATAATATGGAACAATACAAAAACCTAATTGCCACTATTCATACCCATATATTTCTCGAGTAGTGTAAATTCAAGAATAAATAGAGTACAATCTTGCAGCAAAATAGGTAATTTTATATATATATATATGGAACTGAATTATATACATATATTTGCAGTAGAATAGTTAAATTTATCTATGAACTCTTTCTTCATATACATTATTTTATCAATACAAAAAAACTAAAATCATTGAATATACTAAGATGCTTGTCCATTATCCTCTAAAGAACCACTATTGGAAGGGAAAANAAGGGTCGACCTGCTACAATCCAGAATGTGTATTCCGAAATGCTTTCTCGGCTTCTTCACGTATGCACGAGAGGTTTGATCTTATCTCCTTTGAGAGTCTACCTTCAACCAGGCGCACAGGCAACCACACTTTTGGTTTCACATTAACAATATACACAAGGGTCGTTTCAAGGCCTGAGACATTCTGTAAATCACAAAATGGATCATCGCAGCTAAAGAGATCATAGCACACAACTCAAACAAACTGTCTCGCTCGATGATCACCTATACTTAAATCACTCATCTTTTTGTAGAAAAACTTATGGCATGCATGATTTTGCTTCAACGTCACATTTCCATTTCCAAGAAATTCATAAAAGAATCTGAAGTGTGTTTGTCTATAACTTTTGGTTTAGAAGTCATCAATTTTGATATTCATTCATATCAAAACACCCGTGTCTTCTGAGATGTTGGGCCAACTACTACCATCTACTTGAAAAATAATTATATATTTAAATTATATTTATTTTTAGTGGGACCCACAATCTACCATCACATTAACATTATACAATACTTCAAATTAAAGCTTACCATATAACACTTTCAAAGTAATATTTATTAAAATTTATAAACCTAAAGGACTATTTCAAAACTACCCATCCAAATAAAATCTCAACTTTGACAAAGAAAATCTCAAATTTTATTCTATAGGAAACTGGACATGGAAACGTAATCATACGGATACAGGCTTAACCATCACATAATTATTACAAGGGATTTGTTACACAGGACACACCCCTGACTAAAGCCCTATTACCAGAAGCTTCCAACTATCCGTCAAAACTACAAATAACCCTCTTTGAGATGGGTCGTAATTTTCAAAAATAATTAGTATTCACTTTTCATGTAATTAGGCCGGACCTTAGGGGTAATTTTCATAATTAATCATTATTTCTGTTGACATGAGAAAATAATAGGAGGAACACGAATAAAACACTTGACCTGTTCAATAGACCATACTCCTTCAAAGAGTTGAAAGTCGCCCTCAACCATCTTGAACTCAATATCACGCTTTTGACCAGAGGGAAGAGTCTCGAGATCTTTCTCAAAACAATCAATCGTACCTTTTGCATTGAATTTCAGCCCGAATGCCAAATTTTGCTCACCAATCTGTTACATTTAGAAGCAGCATCAGTTTGAGTGCTTGTCTTAGGAGATATTGTGGCATGTATTTCCTGTTAGATATCTGAACTCTTTTAAAACCTAAACCATACAAAATACACAAGCAGCAATAAGATGATGCAAAACATCAAGCAAGAGATGTGCAGGTAAAACTATGGATGGTTAGAAAACTATGGATGGTTAGAAACTTAAAAATACATCAAGTTGAAAATTGATGTAGCCATATATATTGCACTCAATAAAATTCTTAATTTCCTTTCATAAGACTGTCACAAGGAAAGAAGAAAAAGAAACAAGAAACGAACACGATACCTGATAGAGACGAACAAAATTTTCTCTCTTATCAAGCAACTTGCTGACTGCGAGGCCTGGAATGAAATCGGACAATCTTTCATAATCAGTCAGTAAATCCCAAACTGCTTGGAGGCTGGCCTGTATAACTACCTTGGATCTAATTCTCCGGCTATTCTTGCCTATTTTCTCTATTTCTATCTCGATACAATCATCCCCACTTTCAGAATCAGACACTAAGTCATATGTTTCGTCTATGCACTCCTCAACAACATCATCAATATCATCATCCGCAGGGTCCAGATTATTTCCATAATCACCCTTGACAAAAGAAGCCCTATATTGGGAATACAAAGCCTTTGACAAAGTTAAGACATGACTTCTGGTCGAGAGCAGGATAACAGAGACATGTTTTTTGGTCGAGAGCAGGATAACAGAGACATGGTCAAATCATAAATGTAGATTGTTTATAAACACAAGGCACAAGATAGAGACAAAACTATACCAAAAAGTAATTCATTCACAAGGATGAGCAAAATAGATATCCTGACATCATTGCATAAAACATCATGTGTTGAAGTAGGAAAAATAATTCATAGTAGCTGCATAATTAGTAATTAGTCAAACAAAATTCGGCAGGTTTCAAGCAATAAAAAGGGCTACAATTATGCAGAAGCATTTTGAAGTATAAATAAGGCAGGAGACAAAAGTACAATGGAACGATTGCTCGCAAGTAGAAAAATAAAGTAATCATAGGCATAACAACAAATGAAAAGGAGTAATACCTAGCAAGGAAACAGGAGAGACAAACAATCACAGGCTTATTCCGACGGAAAAAACGAAAAGAGGCAATTTTCCTCGGTGCAATCGAGGATTTTGCATCCAAAACTATAGTTAAGTTTGGGTATCTGGTGTTTAAAACAGGTCCGGCGACCGATATTTTGGGTTCTGAAATTGTACAGCCACGAGGAGTTGCAGTAGTACAGAACAACGGGATATCCATTTGTTTTGCCAATCTGCTCCAACCATCACGAGATACCGTCTCTTCCAGACTTCCATGTCAATTATAACCATGTTCTAAAAATCGGCCTGAGGCGGCGCCTAGGCGCTAGGCGATGTCCAGGCGCCTCCGATTTGTACAAATCGGCAGAAAAATCGGTCAGGCGGCTAGGCGGCGCCTAGGCGGCTCTAGGCGCTCCTAGGCGGGCGTAGGCGGACCTAGGCGCTCCTAGGCGAGCTCGGCGGCAATTTTTTAATTTATTTTAATTTTTATTTTTATTTTTTTAAATACTAATTACATTATTTTGTTCTCATGTTTTCTTTAATATATATTAATATTATTCTTAGGACTTTGGTGTGTGAATATATTATATGTTGGAGATAATTTTATTTTATAGATAGTTAAAATAAATAAAAATTAAGATATTTACTATTGATTTCTGGGCCCTGACTAGGCGCCGCCTAGGCCCTGACTAGGCGCTCTAGGCGCTAGGCACTGGTTGACCGCCTAGCCGGCGCTTAGCGACTTTTAGAACACTGATTATAACATATTGATAGGAAAGAATGACGTGGGATTTACAGGAAGAAATGACGTGAGAATAAAACGATCACTCATTTCTTATCCAATAATATTTTTTTTTTGGAAAGAAATTACTTCTAATGAGAATTGGCAAAATCCATCTCTATGAGATTATCTAAATGAAAGGTTATCTCATTCCGTCTAGGAATTAATTTTTCAAAAAATAAAATTCACAAATAATAATAAAAAATAAATATATAATATATATTATAAATTATGATTAAAATATATTAAAAAAATTATTTTAAAAAATAAAATTCAAATAAAAAAATTGAAAACTTATTTTTTAATTAGATATATTAAATATTTATATAAAAATAAAACCAAAAAAAGTATTTATATATAATTTAAAAATATATTATTTTATTTTTATATAATTGGCATCTTGGGAACTACTGTGGCGTATCCTCTCTATTAATTAAACAATTAAATTAAATTAATAAATCATAATGTACTTAAATTTTGTCCTTAATATAAATTTTTGATTAAATTAAATATATATTTTTGGAAAATATGGTTTCTTTAAATAATATTAATACAACACACATGATTATACATGTGCTAGTTAAAACATTTATACTGAAATTCTTAAAAAGAAAATGTTAAAAATAAGTTTTTTATTTAAATTTCAAGTACTTTTTAAAAATGTATATTCACTCTTATTCTTTTTAAATGTCGTTATGTGCTTCAACACATAAATTTTAAAAAAAAAAATTCTTGTCAATATTAGCCTTATTTAAAATAAATTAAGATTAATTAATTTCTTTCTTTTTAGCTTTTTTATGTTCTTTTAGTCCACGCGCCCAGCAGGCCTGCCCCGCGCCAGCCACGCCCAGCAGCAGAAAGCCGCGCCCGAGGCCCAGCGCCCAGCCGCGCCCAGACAACGTCAGTCCAACTTCCCGAGCCCAAAACCTCAACCTCTGGCCCACTTTGTCCGAGCCCAAATTTGTGGGATTACAACCCACGTACTAAGGTATATTTTGAGCCCAATTGACCCTGGTCAAAGTCAACCCAAGAGTCCCCTAGTCTTGGACCAAGTTAGTGGGGGGACATTTGATTATTTTATTGTCCTAGAGTATAGTGTTTGTCCCCTATCCCCTATATCCAAGGCAAGCCATTTTTCTCCTTGGAGACCACCAAAAACCGTCCAATATCAGGTGAGACAAGTCCAAGACATCCTCCTTACCCTATGCACTTGAAAATGGTATAAGACCACACTATGTTCCCACTTTGTCCCCTCTTTGGTCAAAGTCTTGAGTCTCCACCTCAAGACCTTTATAATAACACCTTCCCAACTGAGTGTAGGACCTTTGGCACTTAGAAATTTTGTCCAACACTTAGAGAAATCAGGGAAAACCAAGAGAGCCCCCCATGCCTAAGCCACGCGCGCGAGCCACCCGGGTAGAAGGAGAACCGAGCCTAAACCACTTCTCACGAGCCTTATCATCTTCCAATCATTTTTGGATTTTTTATAAGTCTTGAGGAAGTGTTTCTTGCGGCCATTGGCACCCCAAGTCGAGCCATAGCCTCCCAAGACCCGAAACAAGCCCTATCAAGTCCCCAGCAACCATTTTCCATCTTCGGTGAAGGTAAGCCCAAGAAATCCTTTTTTCTCAGCTATTTATGATAAAGTATGATTTATCATGAAGAGAAATGAAGCCATGCATGTCATTAGCCATGAGTTTCGAATTTTAAGAAATTAAAGGCTTAAAAACGGATTTTAGTACATTGCATGTTTAGGACGATTTTATTAGCTAAATGTTCTTTATAAATCATGAGAATGAAGATGTATAAGTTTGAGCATTTTTGGAGTACGTTTGTTCGGTCAACTAGCTCATGATTTTACGCAATTTTTTACTCCCGAGCCATAATGATATGCATGCAAGAAAAGCCTACCATGTTTAGTCTTAAAAATCATGTTTTAAGATGTTAAACACTCGGCCATAGTCATATGTTCAAGTTAGAGAAGTTGGTTCGGTCGACTCGTTCATGATTTTATGTGAAATTTCACCTCCGAGCCATATTAGTATACATGTAAGTTTATGCTATCATTTAAGCCTCATTAGTCATGATTTATTATGTTAAACACTCGGCCTTAGTAATATATTGTAGTTGGAGAAGTCGATTTGGTGACCCTAGGTCCGTACGTGCCATATCGGCCTTATCGGACTACATGCATGTTGACCCGAGGTCTCCTAGGGCTTCTTTGCATTTTTATGTCTATTTCATCATTTTAGGTTGATATATGTTGCATGACCCTGGTAAAGTCTCCAAAAAGTCGAAAACGGGTCGGTCATGGTCACTAGCCGCGCCCACCGCGCGTGCAGTGCCGGCCTCGTGTGATGAAGGATCGTGCATCTCCTCAACTCGTTTGTCTCGAACCAAGCTTTGCCAAGGCTTCTTTCTCGACGATATGTGTGGACGACTCGGTTATTAGCCTTATCTTCTCACGGTTTTGAGATGGTTCGGGTCTTAGCCTTGCCAACTTGATTTGTATGATAAAACTCTCACGAATTCGAAACACACAATTTGCTCTTGCGAACGATTTTCATTAACTTCAAAACATTTATAAAATTGAATGAGTACATTGGGTATTTATAAGAAAAACTAGATCTAGTCCTATGAGCACTATAATTCTAATCTATGGAAAATACATCTAGTCCTAGGGTAACTAAATATCTAGTAAATAAAGACTTACAAAATCAAAGTAGGCACATGCCTTTTATTTGCAATCCTAACCAAACTACTAATCCTAATAATGCTAAGTAAATCGGCTCCAATCTCTTTTGCTTGCCCCGCAAGTCGACGAACTCGAATCCTAGCCGCCCCGCAGGCCCTAGTCCTTGTCGTGCGCGGTAATGCGCGCTCGCCCTCCCCACACGTCGCCCATCGCCCAAGATGCTCGACCGCGTGCCCCATCTCGCGCATCCCCACCACTTGCGCGGGTGTCGCGCACGCTCGAGCCTTTGCTATCATCTTCTCGCTCGCTCGATGTCTGGCGTGTCGTGCCCAGCCTATCCACACGCGTGCCGCTCACGCCCGTCTGCCCAGCCCATCGGCCGCGCTCGCTTAGCACCTTGCGCGTGTTCCCCACTGTTGCGCCCAACTTGCACCCGCTCATCGTGCCTATCGCAACACCTGTTTATTGTGTTTTTGTACTTATTTTCGTGTATTTTATGTTTTGTAGTTTAGTCTTTTTAGGTTCGTTTTAGTGTCAACCGGTCCATTTTATCGTGTTCCGTGTATTCTCTTCGTCTTTCTTTTTATTCTATTTTTTTTGGCGTATTACTCCGTGCTCCTGGGTGTATTTTTAGGTTTATTTCCGAGGATGAGGAGAAGAGTCGAACCGAGCTCCGAGAGATGAGCATTTTCGAAAGAATCCCGAGAAATTTCGAGCCAATTCGTACGAGCCATTTCCATTCTGAGTATGTCGAGCCTTGTTGACCAAAGTCCTCAAAAGCTGGCTGAAACTCGCAGACGCGTGCCATCTCTCGCGACCACGCGGATGAGCGTTGCAGCTGCCCAAGACGCTCTCGACCACGCAGCGAAGGCCGCAACCACGCGAGCACCATCACCCATCGTCCGCGCCCCGCGAAATCATCGACCAGCTCGAGAGTACATTGTCCACCGCATCCGCGCCCTCCAACAATTCAGCGATCTCGAGAGTAGTCCTCCCACCTGGCCGTTCGCGCGCTCGAGAACTCCCGCCAGCTCGAGAGTGTGCTCCATCAGCCGATCTGCGCCCGCGAGCTCAACCGCGAGGTCGAGAGTACTCCTTTTCCTCACGCCTCACCGAGCCTTGCGTCGTGCCACTTCCGTGCCATCGATACCCGCGACCCGCGAACTTGCCCACGAGCTCGAGAGTACTGTCATTTAATGTGCGTATTTCTAGTGTGTGTTTTGAGCTGCACTATAAATATATTTTGGCCCTGTGTATTTTGGACATCTAGATTTCATTTGTCACTTTTTCACTTTAGGAATTAAGCTTTTCTTTTTAGTTTTCTCTCTTCTCTCTCTTGGGAGCTCCATGACATCATTTTCCGGCGAATTTTTCGGCGAGTTTTATTTTGTTCAAGTTCTTAGCTTTTGACTCCGATTTTCGTCTAGCACGCAATAGAAGATTGGGTATTTACTTTTAAAGCTCATTACTTCAATTTTTGCTTCGTTTTTACTTATAAAATTTTTCAAGGTGAATTTGGGTGTTTGCTTGATGATGGAGGAAATGTTTGGACTTGATCATTGCTCTTGCTTGTTTTAGTAGGGACTAATTTACTTGCCTATCTAGATTAAGGATTAGGACTCTATTTAGATCTTAATCACTTAGGTTAGAAGGTTAGGGTTAGTGACCTAGTGTTAGAACTTGCATACTTCTCGTCGTGATTTCGTTTGATGTTGATGGCATAGAGACTCCGGTAGTGTTAGTTGCTTTATTCTCTCGTCTACTTGTTGCCTTTTAATTCCGAGCATCGATTAGCATTAATTCACTCTCCAACCTATTGATTAGCATGTTTAGCTTTCATTT